CAATGATTTTTGCCTTTTCGGGCCTTCCTGGAGGCCCTCTTGGAGGCCTCTTGGGCCGTCTTGGGCCATCTTAGGGCCATCTTCGGTCGTTTTGGTGGGCTCCTGGCCCGTCCGACGCCGTCGGAAGCCGGCCGGGGGGGCTCTCTGGGCCGACTTGGGGGCCCTCTTGGAATGCTCTAGGGCCGTCTTGGAGGCCATCTTGGGCGTCTTAAAAGCATCCTGGGCCGACGCCGTCGGAAGCCGTTTGGGGGGCTTCTCTGGGACGACTTGGGGCCCTCTTGGGGTGCTCCAGGGCCGTCTTAGAGGCCATCTTGGGCGTCTTGGAGGCCTCTTGGGTCGTCTTTGTGCTCTCTTGGGGGCCTCTTGGGCAGTCCTGAGGCCATCTTGGAGGCCTCTTGGGCGCTGTGGGGGCGATCTCGGGGGCCTCTTTGGCCGTCTTGGGTCGTCGGAAAACCGAGAAGGAGCAAATACTAAAACCTTTAAGAATCAATGAATATCGATGATTTTAGCCTCTTCGGGCCCTCCTGGAGGACCTCTCGGAGGCCTTTTGGGCCGTCGTGGAGGCCTCTTGGGCACCTCTTGGGCCGTCTTGGGCCGTCTTGGAGGTTTCTTGGGCGGACTTGGAGGCATCTCCTCCTCTCCTGGGCCGTCTTGGAGGCCATCTTGGGCGAACTTGGAGGCCATCTTGGGCCAACGTGGCCATTTTGGAGGCGTCTGGGGCAGGAAAAACCCTTTGCAACGACCTCTGGGCAATCCTCCCGGGACCCCGGCGGGACGGGCCGAAGCCCCAGGGGGAGTTCTTTTGGAAAAAGAACCCAAACCCAAACCGAAATGATCTAGCACGCCAGGCACCCCTGCGATGAATCGACAGGGGACGTGTGCCAGCTATTCCCCAATGTATGCGGCGACCCTGGCGATGTGGATTCCGTGTGCATGACGGATGCAGCGTGGGCTGCGCGAAGGGGCGGCAGTTCGCACGGCGGCTGCCTGATCCTGGCCAGCCACAAGGTCGTTCTGCAGGGCAAGACCGTCAAGTACGTCATGGTGGACTGGCGATCGTGGAAGCTACCAAGAGTGAGCAGGTCATCTTTGGCGAGTGAGGCCCAAGCCGCGGCGGGAGGAGTTGATGCCCGGAGTGCGTGAAGGTACACTACAGTTTGATGCTCGACCCGAGCCGGGATCCAAGGCTCAACGCTACCATGTAGGTGCTTGGCAAGAGCGCGCTCGCGGTGGACGCGAAGGCCCTCTACGACGCGGCCCAGAAACCCCGCGTGCGCAACTTCGACGACAAGCGGACCGGCATCGATGTTCGGGTGTTGAAGGAGCGCATGATGGCAAGTGCGACCGGCCGGCGTTGGGGCAGCTTAGAGCGCCAGTTCGCAGATGGTTTCACGAAGTTGGCGGCTCGACAGCTACTCGCAGACCGACTCAGATCTGGGACGATCAGCTTGGCATATGGCGACAAGTTCCCGGCGGCCAAGACGATAAGCGCGAACAGGCAGATCGAGGAGGAGAAGAGCACAATCCCGAAGCTGAAGGCAGTGGAGAAGGCAGTTGCAGCATCAGCCTTCCTGAGCACGGCAGCTGGATTGACCTGGACTACCGTGCGACCGGGGCTCATGGGTTGGTGAATTTCATGAGGCAGGACGCTCCAATGATCGTGATCAGTATTCCCCTCATGACGATACTGAAGTGGCTGAGGAACATTCTCATAATTATGCACCGTGGCGGTTGGAATTGCATTCGCAGGGTGCCGTGACACGGCGCAGACTACAGATGCCACAATCCCGAGGATGGCGACGATGGAGGATGCTACGGAGTGCCGCCACAAGGCGCAGACTACGGACACCACCGCCGAGAGCGAGATCAAACAGCAGGGCTAGAAGCATGAGCGGACCTTGCGCGACACGGGGGTGATGAGTCAGGTCACCTAGGCAGGAGTTGGCAAGGCGAGCGGAGGCCGATATGTACATCGGACCCAGGGTTTCAGCCGAGCCTGGGAGGTGACGCGAGAGTTCATGCAGGACAGGCCCCGCGGTGATTGATTCCCGCCCCGGCAAACCCGCTTTGCATTCCCATTCCTTCTCTCGTTGTTTTCCCTCGCCCACATTTCTCGCAATGAAGGTATTGTTGGACCGACAGGTTTGACAGGCAGATGTTGGACCGAAAGGTTTGATGGACAGGCGTTGGACCGACGGGTTTGACAAACAAGCGTTGGACCGACGGGTCTGATTGAGAGAGGCTTTCTGGCTGCAGACGCCGAGGCGCAGCCACTCTCGATCTGAAAGTATTATTTGCTTGCGTATGTGACAGGCCCACATGTAAGAGGAGGTGAGCCTTCCCTCCCTTGATGTGTTTGTTTTTCCTTTTTTTTCTTTTCTATATGTCACCAGTGTGAATTGTACTCCATACAGTGTGTGTTGGAGGCAGATATCAGTGCATTGTTAACCTTGTTCCCTCCCCTCCCCCGTTCCAGCGGGCAGGCGTGAGCAGTGTCAGGCAACAGAATTTTGTATGTATGTGTTTTTGACGCTGTACTGGCCCAGTGCAATTCGAGAGGCCTCGCGCACTCGACAGAAAAAGGAGCGTTTCCCCCCCCAGGGCTCGTACAGCGATAGTTCGGGAGGAGGTCGAGAGACGATTGGGCAGAGTACCGCAATCAGTTCCGAGCTGGTATGAAGACTTTGCGAGCTTCGACCGATTCACACTTCTTCCTCCCTCTTCTCGTCCTTCTCCTCCTTTCGCCGCTCGCCAAGAAGCACGTGGCCGCAGCCGTTGGAAAGGTTAGTCGCCGTTCGCGGCTTCACTCCTTGACCAGCGTTGGTGGTGGTCAGATCATAGTGGCGGAGGCCGAACGGTCTTGCATTATCCTTGGGTTTGTGCTTGACATGGGTTCTCGCGGTGAGGAATGCTGTTGTTCGTTGGTGTTTGCTGTAGTCATTTGTTGTCGTCGTCGCCCTCGCATGCGACCCGCCTGCGACCCGCCCGTGACCCGGCCGCGACCCGCCCGCGACCCGCGTGCGACCTGCCTGCGACCCACCCGCGACACACTTTCGACCCACCGACATTGCTTGAACGAGAATTTGGCGCATGTGGAGGGTTCGTTGTGTAACGTGTCAAGCAGTCTGGGCCCCCGCAGTCTGCCGACTACGATGACCTTGTCGCCCCTCACTGTTGCCCACAACCGCGGGGACCTTCCTCCCTCTTTCCTCCCCTCGCCTTCTGCCCTCCCGCGCGGCTGCAGGACCCCCGAGCTTTTCAAACTCCACGCATCAGACCTGGGAGGACATTCTGCTGATTGGCGCTCCAGCTGGGGTCACCTGCGACATCTGCTGGTGCAGCGGCCTGAACAACGTTTGCACGCTGGCCTCGCGCTATACGGTCCTCGCTGGGTCAACAATCAGCATCGTGCAACCGATCCCCATCCCCACTGGGCCGTGGTATTTCAGGCCTCCTGGTTTTCCCCTGCGGGTGGAAATGTGCCCAGCGAAACCCGAAGGGAACAGCACGTATCCACACTTAGGGGGGCAATTTGGCCAGTGGGTCCAAGACGGTGCTTGTGGAAAAGGTTGGGGTGGAGGAAGAGGACGGATGGGGAGGAGGCTGAGTTCCAGAGGGGAAGGAGGTTGAGGTGGAGGAAAGGGAGTGCGGTGCTCTTTCTTCCCCTGTGCGCGCGGCTGCGCGCGCTTCGACCTGGAGTCGAAGGAGGCCCCGTCTCCCATCCCGTTGCGGTGAGCGAAAGGAGGAAGGAAAAGTGGGAGGACGGACGATGCGCAGGAAAGAGGAGGAGGAGGAGGAGGCGGAGCCCAGACTATCGAATGGTATCTTCGAGCGGTGGCAATTGGGCGGCCTCGCTCTGTTTTGGCTGCGGCAGGGTTCGTGTCCACGTTGAAAATGAGTGCTTCGGACCGCTCGTTTCCCGGGCACCAAGGAAGATACTAAGGTGTTTGGGGAGATCATGAGTGCAGACATGAAGACGATGTCTTGGGCAGGTCGTAAGTAGCTTGATAGGGGACCAGGTCGTAGCAGAGCTGCTCGTAGCAGCAGAAGTAAAACAAGCACCTGCGGCAGCAGTATCTGTAGTTAGTTTCATTCGGTAGGTCGGCAAATCGGCTGTAGGCGTAGTCAGACTTTTCGTAGTAGCTGCCGTAGAAGTAGTCGTAGTAGTAGTAGTAGTAGTAGTAGTAGTAGTAGTAGTAGTAGTAGTAGTAGTGGTAGCCGTAGAACTATAGTGGTGGTAGTAGCAGTAGTAGTAGTAGTAGTAGTCGTAGTCGTAGTCGTAGTCGTAGTCCGTAGTCGTAGTCGTAGCCGTAGACGTAGTAGTAGTAGTAGTAATTAGGTAGTAGTAGTAGTAGTAAGTGAGTCGTAGTCTTATCAGTATAAGTAGTGAGTAGAAATACAAAGTAGTAGTATAGTATGTAGTAGTAATAGTAGTAGTAGTGAAGTATAAGTAGTAGTGTAGTAGTAGTATTGACGTAGTAGTAGTAGTAGTAGTAGTAGTAGTAGTAGTAGTCGTAGTAGTAGTAGTAGTAGTAGTAGTAGTAGTAGTAGTAGTAGTAGTAGTACGTAGTAGTAGTAGTAGTAGTAGTAGTAGTAGTAGTAGTAGTAGTAGTAGTAGTAGTAGTAGTAGTAGTAGTCGTAGTAGTAGCAGCAGTAGTAGTAGTGGTTATAGTAGTAGTAGTAGTAGTCGTAGTAGTAGTAGTAGTCTAAGTAGTAGTAGTAGTCGTAGTAGTAGTAGTAGTAGTGTGGAGTAGTAGTGCAAAAAAAGGTCAGTCTAGTAGTAGTGGTATTGGTAGTAGTGGTAGTAAGTAGTAGTAGTATGCAGCACGTGCAGTAGCAGTAGCATTATTTATTGTAGTACTAACCTTGGTAGTAGTAGTAGTAGTAGTATCAGTAGGTAGTAGTAGTCGTCCGTCGTCCGTCGTCCGTAATCGTCGTATAGTATAGTAGTAGTAGTAGTAGTATTAGTAGTTAGTAGTAGTCGTAGTAGTAGCTCTTGCAGTAGCAGTAGCAGTAGCAGTAGCAGTAGTAGTAGTAGTCGTGACAGTAGTAGTAGTAGTAGTAGTAGTAGTAGTAGTAGTAGTCGTAGTAGTAGTAGTAGTAGTAGTAGTAGTAGTAGTAGTAGTAGTAGTAGTGACCGTAGTAGTAGCAGTAGTAGTAGTCGTAGTAGCTGTAGTAGTAGTAGTAGTCGTAGTAGTAGTAGCAGTAGTAGTAGTAGTAGTAATAGTAGTAGCAGTAATCGTAGTAGTAGTAGTAGTAGCAGCAGTAGTAGTAGTAGCCGTAGTCGTAGTCGTAGTCGTAGTCGTAGCGGTAGTAGTCGTAGTAGATGTCGTAGTAGAAGTCGTAGTAGACGTCGGTGGTGGAACTAGAAATAAAAGTGGCAGTAGTGGTAGTAGTAGAAGTAGTAGGAGTGACAGTAGCCGTAGTAGTAGTAGAAGTAGTAGTGGCAGTAGTAGTAGTAGGAGTATTAGTCGTAGTAGTAGTCGTAGCGGTCGTAGCAGTAGTAGTAGCAGTAGTAGTAGTAGTAGTCGTAGTAATCGTAGTCATTGTAGCAGTAGTAGTAGTAGTAGTAGTAGTAGTAGTAGTAGTAGTAGTAGTAGTAGAAGTAGTATTAGTAGTCGTAGTCGTAGTAGGAGTAGCCGTGGAAGTAGTAGGAATAGTGGCAGTCGTAGTAGTAATAATAGTGGTAGTCGTAGTAGTAGTAGTAGTAGTAGTCGTAGTCGTAGTAGTAGTAGTAGTAGTAGTAGTAGTAGTAGTAGTCGTCGTCGCCGTCGCAGTAGTAGTAGTAGTAGTAGTAGTAGTAGTAGTAGTAGCAGTATGAGTAGTAATAGTAGTCTTGGTAGTAGTAGTAGTAGTAGTAGTCGTAGTAGTAGTAGTAGTAGTAGTAGTAGTAGTAGTAGTAGTGACAGTAGTAGTAGTAGTAGCCGTAGAAATAGTAGTAGTAGTAGTAGTAGTAGTAGTAGTAGCAGTAGCAGTAGTACTCGTAGTAGTGCTAGTAGGTTTGGTAGCAGTAGTCGTAGTATGTTTTAATGTATATATATAAATGTATTCGTAGTAGGAGCAGTAGTAGTAGTAATAGTAGTAGTAGCCGTAGTAATGGTATGTGTATTTGTAATAGTAATAGCAATAGTGTTTGTAATCGTAGTATTAGTACTACTATTAGTAGTAGTAGTAGTCGTAGTAGTAGTAGTAGTAGTAGTCTTGGTAGTAGTGGTAGTAGTAGTAGAAGAACTGGTAGTAGTAGTTGTAGTAGTAGGGGTGGTCGTTGTATAGTCAGTGTTAGTATTCGTAGTAGTAGTAGTAGTAGTAGTAGTAGTAGTAGTAGTAGTAGTAGTAGTAGCGGTAGTAGTAATAGTAGTAGTAGTAGTAGTATAGCGGTCGTAGTAGTAGTAACCTTATTAGTGGCAGTTATAGTAGTGGTAGTAGTAGTAGTAGTAGTAGTAGCAGTAGGAGTAGCAGTCGTAGTAGTAGTAGTAGTAGTAGTAGTAGTAGTAGTAATAGTAGTAGTAGTAGTAGTAGTAGTAGTAGTAGTAGTAGTAGTAGTAGTAGTAGTAGTAATAGTAGCAGTAGTAGTAGCAGTGGTAGTAGTAGTGGTAGTAGTAGTGGTAGAAGTGGTGATAGAAGTAGTGGCGGTAGTAGTAGTTGTTGTCGTAGTAGTAGTGGCCGTAATTGTCGCAGTCGTAGTCGTAGTAGTGGTGGTGGTGGTGGTAGTAGTGCTGGCCGTTGTCGTTGTAGTAGTAGTAGTAGTAGTAATGGTAGTAGTAGTAGTGGTCGTAGTAATGCATTATAGTAACCGTAGTAGTCGTAGTCGTAGTAGGAGTAGTAGTATTAGAAGTACGAGTACAAGCAGTAGCAGTGGTGGTAGTAGTAGTAGCGGGACGCTCGACGTTAGTAGGTAGTAGCTAGTGGCTAGTATCACGTTGACCAATTGCAGTGCGAATCGTGGTTTTAGTAATCGTAATAATAGCCGCAGTGGTAGTAGTCGTCGCAAAGGTAGTAGTAGTAGTGGTAGTAGTAGTAGTAGTCGTCGTAGCAGTAGTAGTCGCAGAAGTAGTTGTAGTAGTAACAGTGGTCGTGGGGGTCGCAGCCGTAGTCGTGGTCGACGTTGTAGTAGTAGTAGTAGTAGTAGTAGTAGTAGTAGTAGTAGTAGTAGTAGTAGTAGTAGTACTAGTAGTAGCAGTAGCAGCAGCAGCAGCAGCAGTAGTAGTAGTAGTAGTAGTAGTAGTAGCAGCAGTAGCCGTTGCAGTAGTAATAGTCGTAGTTGTAGTAGCAGTAGTAGTAGTACGAATCGTCAATGCCGTAGCAGTAGTGGTAGTAGTAGTAGTGGTAGTCGTATTAATATTAACACTTCTAGTAGTAGTAGTAGTGATGGTGGTTGTGGTAGTAGTGGTCGTGGTCGTAGTAGTGGTAGTAGTAGTAGTAGTAGTAGTAGTAGTAGTAGTAGTAGTAGTTGTAGTAGTAGTAGTAGTAGTAGACGTAGTAGTTGTGGTAGCAGGTGCAGTAGTAGTAGTAGTAGTAGTAGTAGTAGTAGTAGTAGTAGTAGTTATAGTAGTAGTCGTAGTAGTGGTATCAGTAGCAGTAGACATAGAAGTAGTAGCAGTAGTCTTGATAGTAGTGGTGGCAGTAGCATTTGCAGTTGTAGCGCTAGTAGGCGTAGTAGTAGTAGTAGTACTAGTAGTAGTAGCAGTAGTAGTAGTAGTAGTAGGCGTAGTAGTTGTAATAGTAGTAGTTGTAGTACTAGTAAAAGTACCAGTGGTAATCGTAGTAGTAGTAGTAGTAGTAGTAGTAGTAGTAGTAGTAGTAGTAGTAGTAGTAGTAGTAATAGTAGTAGTCGTAGTAGTAGTAGTAGTAGTAGTAGTAGCAGTGGTGGTAGTGGTAGTGGTAGTAGTAGTAGTTGTAGTACCAGTGGTAGTCGCAGTTGTAGTCCTGGTTGCATTCGGTGTAGTGGTAGTAGTAGTAGTAGTAGTAGTAGTAGTCGTAGTAGTTGTTGTAGTCTTACTAGTAGTCGTAGTAGTAGTAGTAGTAGTAGTAGTAGTAATAATAGTAGTAGTAGTAGTAGTAGTCGTGTAGTAGTTGTAGTAGGTAGTATTTAGTAGTAGTAGTTAGTAATAGTAATTAGTAGTAGTCATAGCGTAGTTAGTAGTCGTAGTAAGTAGCAGTCGTAGTTGTAGTAGTTCGTAGTATGTTGTAGTAGTAGTAGTCAGTAGTTAGTAGAGTTGTACAGTACTGCGTAAAGCACTTGTAGTTGCCGTAGTTTAGTGCTAGTTCGTAGTAATAGGTAGTGTAGTAGTTCGTCCGTTAGTAGAGTTAGTCGTAGTCGTAGTTGTCGGTCGTAGAAGTACGTTGTCGTAGTAGTGGTTCGTGGTAGTAGTAGAGGAGTA